TGCTTGAATGAATTGTTTCGATGATAGGTTTCGACTTGCAGGCTCCGAAGAAGGCGATGTTCGCCGAAACGTTAGTCCAATAAAATATCTGTACAAATCTCGGGAGGCTGAAGAAACATTCTGAATTATTACGTCTCTGATAGAGAACGATGCAGTTGTTGTTCAATCAAACGCTGGAGCCTCTACACCACGAAATTATGGAGTTTTAGTGATAGCGACATTGATGACGGGTGACAAGCAATTTTATCAATTGATAAGTAAAGATAAGGGGACATTCTCACGACATCTCTGACCACTACACTGCCAAAAAACCCTCTCAGTAGCGAACTTTTCCTCCAGCCATCACTTCTCTGATAGCACTAGAAAATGAACTCATCCCACTATCCTACTATGTATAATGTTGAAGTCGAGGAGGGGGGTATGTACTTCGCCTAAAACAGGAAGTTTTGAAAAATCAAAAACCTGACACACTTTATGCGTTCAGTGACTATTTGACTATTTTTTGCTTTTCAACTTTTAATCACTGATGAGAACGAATAATGAAGTAGTCTGTAAGATATTCAACGAACGCAGCCCAAATATTGGCATATGCAGTCATTCATGCAGGTGGATTGCATGTTAATGGCAAGTTAATCGCTCATCGTTGGTGTTGTGATGCAGGTAATAAAAACGGAATTTGTTCATCTACTGTGCAACACATATTGATATTGCTGTTGTGATACAGTAATAAAAACGGAATTTGTTCATCTACTGTGCAACTCATATTGATATTGCGCTCATGGCCGACTGTACTTCCTATATCTTCCACGATCTACGTATAGAATGGGCGTTATGGCCGAAACCAGCACGCCTTCCGCAAATATCAGGGTCTGAGGAGTGCAGAATTTCGCTAGGTTACTCTGTCTATTATGATTCGACCACTACCGCGCAATATGAGCAGCTCAGGCAATTAACAAATTCCATTCCCGTTATGATGTGCGCCTGGCGAAGCCGGGCTAAGTGAAGGAGGAGAGCTCGGCGTCAGCCGGGCGCTCCGACTGGTTACCTCTAAATATTGCTAATCATGCCGAGATTAATGTAATCATGGACTATGAGTACGAAATTTGTAATCTGACAGACGAGTATGTGGACGGATTTCTTTTTTAAGGCACACTCCCATGCAGGACCCTGCAATTGATTACGGTGTCGTTTCTTGGATTACGTAATAATAAGATTCGGAAACAGTGCCGGCATATTGCCTCACTGGGATGGCTGGTAAGATCCTTTCGGGGGAAGATGGGAGGAGAATGGTGATTAATTGATGAATGAATGATTTTCGTTGTGATTTTCAAGAGAAACAAAATGATTGAAAATGAAAAGTCACCGCTTGAACATCAGGCGCTTTTGTTGAGAGTTCAGCGACACACGCGGCGTTGCTGCACTGAGGCCGATCAAAGTACTCAGCTTCTTGACTTAGCAAGCTTCTGAGAACCTTCACACGCATATTTGTTGTAGCCGCTTCACTTGACCAGCCACCGAAACCAACCTGAAGGACCAAATCTGAGAAAGGCATGGTATATACCAAGTTCATTTCAAATTCTCGACCTGATTCGAATACTTATACTATACAGTTAGTTAAAGGCAGCGCCCGCGTTCATTTGATGTTCACGCCCTCCTTAGATATCGTAGCTTTGTCGACAAGGGTGGAGGATGTACTAATTTCGCAGCTCAAAAATACGAGAGGATGGCGCCACCCGCTTGTGAAGAGGATGCCGCCCCGCCCACCTGCCATAACTGCTTTGGCTTAGCCTTTGAAGGCTGAGCCCGCTTTCAAGAATAATGAGTTATGGAGCTCATATAATACGTGATCCAGTAGTGAAGAAAAAGCAGAAAAAATCATGGAAAATGCCCTATATAGAACCCTATGCTGGCCAGGTGGGCGGGGCGGCCGACTCTTCACTAGCAAACGGCGCTATCCTCTCGCCTTTTTGAGATGCAAAATGCATCCTCATAGGGAGGGCTACGATATCCAGAGAGGGCGCGGGACATCAAATGAACGTGGGAGCTTCAACCAGATCACACTAGACACTGCGGCAAGCCCGTTTCAATAGCCGCTTTAACTGTTCGATGCAGTCATGAATTTTTCATGATTTTTCAAATAATTTCCATATCAACCAAATGTGCTCGAGGTTCGACCAAACAGAATTTCGGTCGTTTTTCAAACTTTGACCTTTCCAAGCTACACCGAAAGGCTTCGCTCACTGGCAAGGCTTCGCTAACTTTGCATTTTCCCGTTATTTCCCCCTCCCTCATTTTCATGAAGTGCCTCCGCTTAGCAGGCTAGAATATCAATGAGCAGGTGAGAGATTTGCTCACAGCTCGCAACAAAAAAAACCGGCATGGCCTGAACGACTACGCTCGCACGATGACCGTGTGCTGAGCTTTAGTAAGGGCGACGAGTACAACCCAGAGTATGATCACTATAAAAAGAAAAGCTACTCACCGATACTGTCAAGAATGCCCAAGAGTACAGTGCCAGAAACATAAACAATCCTATGGCTAGCCACAAATATGGAGAGAACGTCTCCTGAAGATAGAATAATAAGTGAAGAGATCGAGTATTCGCTTAAAGGCCCGTTCCGCGATAAATTAAGGCCATGACCCTCTCAAACGTGTCAAATGGTCCGGTCGGCAATTGTATGGGCTGTGCTACAATCAAAAAGTGAAAATTTGCGAGAATTCCGGTGGAGGTCAGAGATCTAGTCAACCTTGGGCATACCCCCCTAGACACTCGCTATTAGCCCCACTGATACATTTCTCCGTTCCGAGTGGTGAGAGTGAGGTGAAAGGGGAAAGAAGCTGACATCGCTATGATAATAGCGAGTGATAATTCCTAAAAACACGCCCTTTCTCTTCACTGTATACATGTACTATTTGGGATCGACATGAACTCTTATACAGAGCCCCCTCGTCGGTCTTCTCTGCTTTTTTTCTTCACTGTTCAATTATTTGGTACCATGTCTTTCGCATTTGAACCCCATTGCCCACCATCTGTGGTCGTGGGCCTTGCCTCCAAACCACCGTGATAGGGCATAATTTCGACGTGAAGTAGGACCAAGCTTACTACCACTACATTTAACTTAGTGGATCCAGAGAACGCCCCTGTACTTCAAGAACTATGGACTCCAGGAATATTCAAAACAGTTCGCCCCGGCTGGTCCAGATATTGCCACTGTCATCTCATGGAAAATCACCCTGCATCATCGGCGGTGTACTGGTGCCATGAACTCCCCACGCTCGAAGACCTACATATCTATGGACATTAACGGCATTCTGGAGCGCGTACGGACTGAGAACTTTCCTTACGTTGTATCGTGGGTTATTTTAGCCCTGACAAAATGAGTTAGATAAAGGCCCTTACAGCTGTCTGCTCCAGCGCTTGGTAGGAAAAGCCCACGAAATAGGCACAAAGCGGCAGCTCCATTCCTCGTAAAATACTCCCTATCAAGCAGGCCCAGAATACTCCACTGGAACGCAGACATGTGAGATACACTCGGAAAATTCCTCCTCCTCCACGGCGCATCTGTAAAAGTAGTTTAATAAGGCTGTCATCCATGTTGAAAAGAGACATAGACGCACCTTTGCTTGAGGTGCTTCGTCGTTGGGTCGTGTAGGCTGCTGGGAAACTATCGAGGAGATGGATCGCCTCGTCATTCCGCTTCCTCTCAGATCATGCCGAGCAAGAGGCAAGGTACTGAAATTCAAGGAACCAATACTGTAACAGAGTTCGCGTTTACGCTGTAAATTTGGATAATGGGCTGTTACCGGGGTGTGACCCTCTCCTTCGAGTTACCTCAGTAGTCCCACCTCGTGCGTGCTACGAGCAACAATATACAGATCAACCGCAGCTGGTTTAACATCAAGCGCGTGGCCGTAGGGTACACTGCGTAAGGGAATAAGGGCCTACAGATTGCGATTAGCAGCAACGCACCTGCACGGCAACACCGTAAGCGACCGAAGTTAAGCGTTCTGTAAGTCCGCTGCACATACCCGTACGGGGCTCGGATCTACCTCCATCCGGATCCTGATGGAAAGCCAGAGGAGTCCGACGCCGAGCATGATGGAGGCAGTAAGCCCCACTCACACCGCAGAAACGCTTCACGTACGTCATTCCCACTCACACCGCAGAAACGCTTTACGTACGTCATTCTCGTCATTCTCGCGTCATTTTGTAGTTAGCAACAATCAGTGTGACGGTTACTCCGTCAGCCAGTCCATGCAGAACCCATGTTTCGAGAAAATCCATCAAAATATCTGTTGTTTACAAGGATATATGTGAAGAAAACAAGAAACACCCTTGCTTTGAGAAAAACGCCTCTACAACATCATGTTGGGTTCCGAGGATCCACATCTGACTTTCGTGGAAAAAAATGTTGCACGAAACCTCAGCAGACCCAGCCGTTGACTCCAAAGTTCATGAAAGAAGTCTCGAAATATGGGCTCCAAACAAACTGGTAGACGGAGTGGTTCTTGTTAACGACAAAATAGTGCGAGGGTTGAATCGCGTTGCTGGAGGAGTTCCCGAATTTTCATTCAACACGTCCTTGCCACTGCCCTAAAGACTTCCTTAGGCAGCGTTCAGACTTCGCGACGGCAGCGCTTCGGTCGCGCGTTCGACGCGATCGATGCAGCCGAAAGCATGCGCATCGATCGTCGAATCGCGCGACCAGAAGTGCTGCCGTCGCGAAGTCTGAACGCTGCCTTACGTCGTGCCGGAAGGTCGGTGTCACGAGCAGTTTTGCCGATACTGTCCATCCGAGAAGATATGTGAATCGACCTGTGTATTTGGTCTCGTGTAGATGTTGTGAGGAGAAGCACGCGAGGAAGACCGCTGAAAATCCGTCCGGACGAACACAGGAGAGAGTGGCCAATCTCGCCGCCTACCAGCTCAGCACTTTCTTGAAGCCTTAC